TTAGACTGACTCGTGAATTCAACTATTAAAATGCTACAATCCCCACAACTTACCACAAATTTGTCATTAAGTTGGATTCATAGTCTGTTTTCATCTTTTTCATGTTTTTTGATTGCACAAGATAATCAGCGATATTCTCCAATTATATACAAACTCTAATAGATAGAAAGAATTCGTATTCTTTCTGGATTGGTTATAGTTGGCTTAGGTTGAAAACCAGGTATCCTGACCCAAGAGTACACACTCATAACTTCAAGTCTCTATACAAGTAAATAACTTAGAATAGTTCCTATTTCGGACTGCGACCAGTCTAGGGTGTGCCTCTACAATCATCCAAATAAAATTAAAGCGACTGTGATGTAAATTTAGTATTCTCATTAGCCGACACATTGATAAATAATTTTTCACACCCTCTCCCTAGCACTGCTCAAAGGGATATTCATCGACAAATTCCGCCTATTTACTACATAACTAAGCTGAAATGTTCGTTGGTAAGAGGCAGTTGAGAGGAGTTTTTGGTATTGAAACTTACAAACAAGACCCACCTGAATGTTTGTCAGAATATCTCTGTGTTCGAATTTGATAAGGAGCATCAGTCTTCTTAAGAATATAAGGCATGGCTTGTTGAAGAGTCCCGGCCAGCACAAAACCTGAATCTCTGGTTTCCTACAGACTTACTCCAATCATCTTAATGCAAAATATGATCAATACGATGTCGAGTCCCTGAATCTATTGAACATAGCTCAGCTGAATAGATAAGATTAGATTTCTATTAAATACCTGACAGGCATAACATTGGTCACTACTTAGTGATCAATCAATTAAAAACTCAAATTAATCACTACATGATATTGTCACTTTTAATTTAGACATCAGACATATGAGAACAAGAATAACAATGAAAGGGAAAGTAATTCAGAATTGTTATCAAGCAAAATGTTTACAGTTAATAGTGAATGACTAATTATGTCGAGCAAACAATTCATGATGGTAATAATTAAAGTAGTCAGGTATTGTTTGTACATTCAGCGTTTGCTTCAAAACTCATAACAATCTTTTTTGATGTTGGTATCGCTAAACCTTTGTTAACAAGTTTGTCTAAGTTTGTCTAAGTAAGAAGTCAAGTTCTTACACAAGCATACTAGTAATAATAATAATAATAGCCTTATAGGCTTTATATTTTCAACCAATGCACATAACGCCTTCAGAAACGATTTAAGTTTCTAATTATTATAAGTGTTATTTAGAACATGAGGTGTTTTTTCTTTAGCAAGAAAGTAGCAATCTAAGTGTTTTGATTTAATGTTAAACCACATCCCTTTATTCATTTGATTTTGTTGAACACTTAATTATGCTGAACGATTATTCCATGATTTATTGTAAAGTCTATTATTTTTTTTGGTGTTGTTCATTTATCTAAATAAAGTAACGATAGTTATAATGATAATTTATTTGTTAGTAAACATATTTCAGCTTCAATTATCTTTTATACTTCCGTTCTTTGATGATTTTCACTTTGAATTATGGACATGAATAGACTGTAAAATACATTAACCACCGAAACAGTAGTTTCTTACTTCATTACCCTTAATCTACAAGTGACTGTCTACTAATTCTGTTGCTGAGAAAAAAGGGTGACAAGGGACATATATTTTCCACGCAATGGAAGGTTTTATCAAAGCTATATGAACAATAACATCAAGATAAATCGCTTATTGAAAACAACTTATTTCTTGTGAACTAGTCTGCTCAAGTTAACCCATGTCAATACATATATCTGTTTGTATTTCAAAACATAATAATCTGTTATATTTACAAGTCTGAAAAGTACCGCCATTAGGTTACTAATGTTTTTCAGAAGTTTAGTGAAATCAGAAAGTGTAGTTGTCAAATGTAATAAATCCTCAAAAATTGATATAAATATTCTTTATCTTCTAACTTTTCCTACTTACCAGTATTGATTAGAAATTGATTAGTTACTCCAGGATGATCTACGTCATGTATAGCTGCGGCAAACAGAACAGCTAAAATTTCCAAGTCACTGAAAACATCCTAAATAAATTATTGAAGAAACGATGTAAATAATTATTGAATTAGAAAACAATTTGGATAATGAGCTCTAAAATAGAATGATTTTGTTTTACAAGATAGTTAGCTTAAAGAGAAATCAATAAATAAGGGCATTTATTGAGTCTATCAAGAACCGTATAAACTCAGTCTCACTGAATGTTTTGTAAGTTGTTAATCAACTTAGTATATCTTGTATGACTAGTCCTATTTGCCTTAATCAACCTTTAGAGTAGTCCAGATTATTAAGTAGTTTCTCATGATTATTTCTATCTCTGATCACAAACTTCTGTTGTCAACCGTATTCATCAATTTAGCTGGAATGAAAATATCAATCACCACTTTTGGATTTTACGGTGCTAAATCTGAAGTGTTGTGAACAAAGAACGTAAATTGTGTATAGTGTTCAAATGTTACCCAAAAAATAATTCATGAAAGAAACACGTTTATTTATTTGTAATGTAAACGACTTGAAAGTAATAACTTCACCGCGAAATTTAAAACTCACTCTGATTAGTGTTTCATTCAGATATAATATATTGATTAGTCCAAACTAGTAATAAATCACTACCGCAGTGGATCAAATATATATTTGAGTTATAAGAGAAATCAATTACATCATGTCATGTTCATGAATACGGCTTAAATGATCTAACAATAAACTGTACATTATCAAGATCCATCGCAATATCAGTGAATAAGTATACTGGACTTTTAATTAACTAAAATTCTGAAGCCCTACTGACATAAATGATCTAGTCTTTCAATTAAGATGTTCACCCACAGAGTTTGGACCTACGAGTATGTCCAAAGACCAATGCAAATAATAATACTACTGACCAGAATTAAGAGATGTCTTTTCATAGTAATTAAGCTGAAGGTTGTTAACTTTTTTTTCTACAATTGAAATTAGTGTTTGGTCTAAAATATTACAGTAAATATCATTTAACTCATTTATAATTTTCTTTTTGGTTAATGAAACTCGGTGATATTTATTGGAGTGGTAAACATTTCTATGAGTTTTATTTTAAAACATAAATGTTTGATTTTCAGAATTATTTTTTTCATTTCTTCGCCAAATAAATTAGTTTTGTAAGTTTTATGGTCAATTTTTTCATCATGATTATTGGGAAGACGGGAAAGGAATTAGTGCTTTAAAACAAAAGTCAGTGTCTCAGACAGTAGTTTAGTTTGCCTATAAAAAGTAAGTCTGATACAATGTATTTATTGACTATGAATCAAACATATAGATATATACTTAATGTAAAACATATACTGATTGTGGTTAATGGTAAAAGCACGATGCGCCTTTCATCTTATATAAAACTAGGCACTTGGGTGTACCTATATCCTAATATTTGTGTTTACACTATCAAGCAATTTAACACATTTTGCTTTAAATAACTTCGAGTGACAGGGCCCAGACAGCCACTGATTGGCTGACAAATTCGCATTTAAAGAGAGCTAACTTCCTGAATTACAATGTAAGTCGTGGTCCATATATATCCCATGACTTCATATTAAGTGGTGTGCAAATATTTTGATAAAGCCTGGTCTAATTTCAGTTTTGAATATGAACGTCAGGATAAAAAATCCCTTACCAATAATACAGATACGTTATTTTTTTAAAAATTATTCAACAGAGAATTTAACTCTCAAGGAATAATTGATGAATGTGATTTTAAAAATAAACCTTTACTTTTCAAATTAACTCAGTTTGACACTTCGAATTTTTTTTCATATTCTTTTGAGTTCATGATATGTCATTATGTTTATGAAAACTGAAAGTAACTGACGCACGCTCAAATCTCTAGTATCCATCAATTCAAATTTGAAATAAAGTCATTTGAAATCACAGTCGAAGTTTTAACCACTAAGACGACTGAAGATCTTTTGTTTTAATTGGATAAGTTTTTGACTCATTTGCGAGCATGATGTACTTTACTATTTCAGAGGCTTTTAATAAAATTAATTTTCAATGAAAAATACTTTTAAATCCAAACAGTTACTTTGTTTTGTCCCGAAATACACATATCTTAACTTTTAATCTGACTATAAGTATTGGTTTCAATTTCTAAACAGATATTTATAAGTCCAACCGATTCATATGACTTACGTCTAATGCTTCCGCTTGTAACAAAAAATGTGCTGTTTGAAGTACATCGGCTGCATGCATTGAGTTATGATAAGGAACATCGGCATGATAAGTTGATTCAACTCTTAACAGATAACGTACAAAAACACGAGGATCAATACAAAATGTTTTGAGTAAATCACGTTTCTGTAAAGTAAAATATGAATATATATATACAAAATTTTCGTAGTAATAAGTTAGAATTGAAGATGTAAATAAATTTGGTTTATTAAAAAAATTACTGCTACAACGGTGTCGATAAAGTTGGCTCGGTACAAACTTGACGTTGGTTACTACTCATTGACTATTCAGAATAAACATACCAGTCATACAAGAGATCGCTGAGCGGTGAGCAACACATCAATAATTTCTTTGAGTGTATAATCAGATAATATTGGTCCATACCTTCCTGAAAGCATCTACTGAGTTAAGAGTACTGATAAGTCTCATTAACGAAATCACATATGTCTAATCGTCTAGTGCTGCTGAATCCTATCGATTAAATTTCAGTTTGCCAATCAGTTCATGTAAATCAACAACGTGTGAACTATGTTTTAATTGACAGTAGTTAGATGAAGTCGATTTAGAACTCTGTAACTAGGTTTCTTAATAGTTGAAACTCATCGACAAAAGGTTTCTCTAATCATGAGGAGAATCTACCAACTTAAATTCCTCAATAAACAAGTACAATAAACACTAAACTTAAGCTAAATGTATCTTGTTAACTACCTTTAACTATCTAACGTCAGTTCATTTTATATTTGTAAGCTAAATACTTAGTTTTCGTATTCAAAAATCTTAAATTATCAATCAGTTCAAAACAATAAACTAATTTTGAAAATGTTGATTTCAAAAATCTTATCATGAACATTGATTCAGAAGAAAACTCAATATAAGCCAATGTTAAACTTTTTTCTGAACAGATTGACAAAATGTCATTATTATTTAGTGTGATTTTCCTAGTCAACAATGATTTATCTATCAACATCTCTATGCTAATGAACTAACAGATAAAAAAAAACGTCAAAAGCATGATATGAGAACAATTTCATAGGTGATTGAATCTACCAAACAAAAGGAAATTAAAAACCAATAGTGAAACAAATAAACAATGATGCCGATCAATGTTCGTATAATATACTTCCTCTCACTCTATTTTTTTTTAAAATGATTGACTATGTATGATATGATAGTTCTGCTTTGATTATTTTGTTGTGTGAATGAAATACAATATCAATTTTCATTATATTGTGAACAAAACAAATGTTAGTCAGGATAGTCGGTACATATACACAGACATTTTATATTCAACCACACTATTCGACTAAATACTTCAACTTATCTTCCAATTAAATGCTTTAACTAACTTCTTTTCGCAGTAGTATAATCAAAAGTCTTTAAAACTAGTATTGTTTCATATGTATTGTCGTGTATTTATTCTGGTTTTACTAATTACAATTCATCCTGATAATTTCAGCTAGACGTGTTCGTGTAGTACAATAGCTTAGACAGATGTAAAAATGTGTTAGGTTCTACATGAATGGATTCATATAATTACAGGCAAAAACTAATGAAAAGCTGTCCACAGTTGCACTCATTTCATTGGCATAACTGACATTAATAATAATGATAGTTGAGTTAATGTTAGTATCATTGATAAATGTTACGTACTAATGATCCGATATTTGTTGACGTAATATCTCTCTATATATACATGATTCTTTGATAAACACATTTGTTAACCTTTCAAATGTATATAGTTTTTGAATTCCTATGGTCATTTTATGGAGAAACTATTGGGTAATATAAATATTGGTAAATGATATGACATAAAAAACATGATACACTTCCATTTTATGACTCTGAAACATTTTAGTTTTATATGGGCATCATCGAGAATTTTAAGAAATTCAATTATTATCCTGCTCATATCATATTAATTTAACCATGAAATTATCTGTTGTAACGGGTGGGTGCAGGTTTTGATACGCAGCGTTTATATCGATCGGTTACAGTGTGACACGTGAATACGTAATGAACGACCTAGAGTTCGATTGACCCTGCTTCGCTGTCTATCCCAGCCAGTTGAGTCCAGAACGAAAGTCACAGCCTCTGAGATATGAATCATTGTATTTCAGACATACTCTATTTATATACTAACCAAACATATCACATCGTACCATAAAAATAGAAAATAACATTTTGTACAATATTCAACAAGTGAACAGGTATCGACCAATAGGAAATGCCCATTTAAAGTCCAAGGACACCATTGGACTTGACATGATAATTATTGGTCTCTCCTTCCGCATCCACAACATTATCCATCAAGTAATGCTTACATTCAAAAAATGGTTTCTGATAAACCTATAAGCTTTATTACTAAGAATTTGTGTTGTTTTTCCCCATTAATTTAATTTCATTTTCATCTGAATAACTTTCTACTCGATTGGTTGATTTAGTGAACAAAGTTTAAACTGATATTTACGAACTATTACCTAAGGTCTTTCAATGATCAATAGGTTTGCATATCTAATCAAAACTGAACACTTTTTGACTAATTTATCTGTTCATGTAGAGCATGATATATCGGTCGTTTAATGCGTATTTTATCCAAAAGAATTCAAGAATATTACCCATTCTAACTGAAAGAAGGTGGAAATAGCGAAATAAGAAGCTCAATACTCGAATACTCTGTGAATGCAGATCACTCAATTAGAGTGCATTATGCGTTTAAAGTCATCTATAAGGTAAAAAGCTTCCAAAGGCATTTACTTGTTTTTGCAGAAAAATAGCTGTATATCTAGTAAAACCAGAATTATGTGTCCAAAAGGAACTGGTATAACTTCTTCTATTATGGTCTGAATCACTCGTGATTTTTTCATGCTTCTTCATAGTCATCTACTTTCACAGACATCTGTTACTCTTTTATCTTCTCTATAGACCTTTTACCCCCAACTGGTTTATTTCTGTGTCTATGATTCTCATGATTACAATTCATCTCAATTTCAACAGATTGTCTTGTCATGCTGAGCCTTCCCCTCCCTGTTAGAATTTCCTTATTTATCTGTATGATGAATATTCGAGCACTCAATAACAAAATTATTATTAATTTTTTTGGTAAATAAAATAACGTTTTAATACCATTATTTATTCCTTCTCACTGTCATCAGTTTAGCGAAATTTCATTACCACTATTATTGTAATTATCACCATTTTGGAAAATAAGTATATACTTGCGGTTGTACAGCTTTGGAAGTGAATTTGCCGAAAAGTTATCTCTTCACAGAACCACTCTTTCCTATTTTAAATTTCAATGGGTATATTCAGTTTACAAAATTAAACAATTTGAAATATGAAGAAAATATGTTTTTTAAACAATACCTGAAATATTCTATAAGCAACTGTTGTAAGGGCATGTCCATTAGAAAGTCGATCGATTTCAAAGATGTCTAAACCCCATTCATCCAAACACTGCGAGAATCTCTAAAACCAAGAGAGGCAATAATGCGAACATATTGATTAAAGCATGATGAAATAAAAATTGAGAAATTAATTTATGGGTGAACCAATTAAATTTATTGTAGTTAGTTTTGGATTTCGGAGGGAAATTTTTTTCATCAATAAAGCTAAATAGTACTTCGGCATAACAGGTAATGTCAGTCCGTAATGAAAACCCTAACTTCTCACACTAATGTATAATCCTTTTAAAACCCTAGTGGGTTGGTGAATTTTCTCGAGGTCACTTTGGTGTCGCTCAAAGTTCGTCCATGAATTACACTCATCGTAAAAACGAGAGAAATATTACTTACTGAAATGACACGAAAATCCCAAGCGGTATACATTTAAATTATTGAGTTTATAGATAAAACTGTCAATTAGATTTCCGTTTTGACACATTTACCGTGAGTACTGACGAACAAATCTTCAACATAAGAAATTTTCACAGGCAGTAATTTCATAAGACCATGTTTTATTTGAAATACATTTTTATCAAAGAAGCTTTGATCATTTACAGCTAAATAACTGATTAGTAAAATAGAACCGTAGTTGGACATTTCTTTTTAATTTGAATTTCCCAGTATCTAACATCTTCACTTCTCGATCAGATAAACACACCATACAACTACAATGAGTAAGGCAGAATCAAACTGTATACATTATGAATGTTAAACAATTTGTGATCTGTAGGATTGCACACGATTCTAGCATCCTTAACTCAAATTAAACAACTAGTTGATGCTATCTGATTTTCAATACTTTATCAACGATGATCAGTTCTTAGTGAAATTTTATAATTGTGCGTTCCTAAGTTTTACATCAGCTTATATTATTTATTGCAGTGAAACTGATATTTAGCTGATTTATTTAGAAATATCTTAAATGAGCTAGATTTATAAATAAACAGAAAAATATTTTTTTGATTATTCATGATTAATTGTTTCCGGTGCATGTGATTTTAATGAGAAAAACTGTTTCTTTATTGATTTAAGATAATTTGATAATTGAATTAGACATTGAACTGTTTCTTTATTTACACCGCCTATCATAAAAAACTTTCAATAATTACCATTTTAAACAACTGCTAATAATCGTTAGTTTTTTCCTGCTGCATGCGATCATCTGCAGCATCACATGATGTTTAAATTTTTTTTCCTTGTTTTCGGATTTATTCTGTTTCAAAATAGAATGTTTCATACCTGTTTCTTTATTCTCTCTTGACTAGACAACTCATCTTACAATGATGTTATATTCCTTAGGCTGGATCAGTTATATCTCAGTTACATCATACGAAATGTATACTTTTAACAGTTAACGTTTGGCTAAAGATTAGATATGGTTATTAAAAGTTCAACAAATTTTAGTTACCAGTATCTAATTTGAAGTCTACTTATTCAATATCATCGTGATCAATACTTATGAAATTTGTAAGAGAACCACCCTTAATCTATCTCATTTCTGACCAACTCCAAGAAAATATTAACAAAAAGTAAATGGTTAGAAAGTTAACCGGCCTTAGCGATTCTACATTTAAATTAATTTTTCAAGAGAATTCACCAAAGCACCATGTAAAAGGATATTCCTGTGAGTTATATATTTTAGACAGTTAAATATCTAATCTTAACGCTTCATATAAAAATGAAGTAAATGTTAGTGAACTTTGACAAAGGAAATATTGAAATAACGGATTAATGCTATGTTGTCAGTAAAAAGTAAGCTTACATTTTATCCAACTTGTAATACAAAACATACGTAGATGGCACATTTTATGAGAAGGTAAATTAAACTTCAAATTTGCTAAACGAGACTGTTTTATATTGTTTGTGTAGACTTTTGAATTTCATGGTCAACATCACAAACCAGTTAGAGGAAAATTAAAATCAAGAATTCATTTAGTAACTGTAGTAATAAAAGAGTCCTCGGCTGTAAGTATATACCATCGCGCTCGGATTCGGACCTAGGATCTTTGTGTCCTACGGCAACTTCTTAATCTTGACAGAATCGTCATCTAATAGTTTACTTGTCTAACACCATTTAATTCGTGGTATTCAGCAACCATCTTCCAATGTTGGAACTTTATTAGTCATGTCTCCTCACTAAAATTAGCGTAATTACTTATCGTAGTCACTAGCGAGTACATGGTTATGAATACTACAGTGATTTGTAAGTGCAGGTGCTGAGCATCCAACAATATCTGTCATAACAATTAAGGGCTCACTAACTAAAAATTTCAAGAGCTAATTCTCTGAGTTTTAGTGAGAAGTACTTACCAGTGGTGTTTTAGCATGTCAGATGTGAGGGAGATAATTACGCAATATATCCAGTTGATTGAAATTAGACATAAAAACCAATGGATCCTGATCAAGTGTTTCAAGTCTTAAGTAATCGCCGTAAAACATGAAGGCCCTAGGCTTGATCCTCAGTGATATCTTGATGTAGACTAGTGAATAATCCCATACTCTGACATAACAGCTATCCAATGCTTCCTGGTTTTCAATAAATGTCTAACCGGAGTAACTTTGTTAATGTCAATTATGAAGGAACTGTTTTGCGTTGTTTTTATTCTGACAAGAAATTCAATGTACAAACATTGAAACTGAGAACTCACAATATAAAATTTACATTTTACTGAAATTAATACGAATTCATATATAAATCTACACAGAATGATAATTATCAGAGTAAAAATTCCAATTTTGCTAATCTCATAACAATCTATTATTATTTTCTTCTATTTAGCTTTCGTTTGTTTCTAACTAATAACATTCAGTTGATTGAATTTGTGTTCTCAACATAAATCATGAAAACTATTCTACATTCTTGACTTTTAATTCTTTATGGCTTTGTTTATTTGTGAACAATCTATCCGCTAAGTAAGCCACTTCTTCAGAGTAGCAAATAAATAAATAAATAGCCTAATTACAAAATCTGCATAATTTTCTCTATTATGTTACATGAATTTTCGTGAGAATAAATAAGTCAGGATGAATATGGATTTCTCCTTTTCATTTGTTAGCGACTTGATTTATTTTTTTATATACTCAAAGAAATGATCAAGAAAGGTGAGCTACAGATTTATGAAATATTCATGGATAATTATAGAGATTTCCAGTTGTAGAGAATGCAAGCATGATGAAAGGCTAAGACCTACCATACTGATAAGAACATCAAATATGTACGAGCTTTTGTGTTATCCGCATATGAGTTTACTATTTGGATTATCGTTGATAAATTGAATTTGAGAAGATCGTTTGTCCCTACACCTTTGGTAAAACATTTGAAGCTGAAGTAAATGAAGAGACTGATGTCTAAAGACATCTAAGGATATTTCAATTCATAGTGACGAATATAGACCAGATGTATCAACAAGAAATGGAGATAAGGTTAGTGTATTCTAAACTAATTAGATCAAAAGTTCCGTATGGAAGTAAACGAATTGAAAATGAGATAGTAAATCATAGAGGTCTAGTGATGATGTTCACGTTGTAAGATAAATTAGTTGATTTTAAAATGTACTGTCCATATGATACTAATTTAATGAAATAATGGTGAAACCTTCCAGTGCATGAATATTCAGTATTGTAAATGTTATGGAATGGAGAATGCCTACTTTTACAGTCCTAGTCTAAAACAAAATAACTATGAAACAGATCTTAGTTTCCATCTATCATCTGAATGTATTTAGTTTACAATGAAAAACTAGTTACCGAAAGCTAGTGATCTAAATGAGTAGCAGATACCCAAAAATCTTCATTCTCACTTAGATTTTCTATAAATTAGAAACATTTAATAATGAAAATCTTGTTAGTGCTTGTACTGATTCGGAGAAAGATTCTTAAGTCAATAACTGAGAAATATTCTATATTGAGAGTTGGAATACCTCTTGGCTATCGTAAATAACTAGTCAAAATGCATGAAACATAAAATTCAACTGGTAAAGTAGAATTAAAAAATGTTGATTAATATCTAAACATTTTAAGTAAGAAAACTTCACACTTACAGTTTATGGGATGGATGCGTCTATTATTAGTGACAATCAATGAGCGTAGAAATAAACTTACAGTATCTAGTGAAATGTACTTACCAAAGAATCAAGTGGCACTGACTGTACTAAAGTGGAGTACAGAAAATGTATGACCAAAAATCCTAACTACTGAGATCCACCAAAAAATTCTTCAAAAATTATTTACAAATTATGTCATGTTAAACTGCAATTCAAAAAGATACTAGTGAATAGCACGTTTCATGAATAATGTTTTTTGTAAATCTATATTTTTGCAAAACCGTTTGACTTTGATGAGAAACAAATTTAGATATCAGGCTTTCATTCTTAAATCTAAATTATTCAATTGTTACTTTGAATGTTAAATGTCGTTAAAGATAGGATGGTTGTTGGATGTCGAAACATTGTATTTTGTTACATGTTTGGATGTGAGTTCCACATAACTTAAGGAGGCTCTTTGTGTAACGAAGTGAAGAATTAGAATATTGAAGAATTAGACCTATCAACATTTTGCAATGCTGGACATTTATGTTCAGGATCACTTCCACCGGTGGACCTAATTAGTCTCTTGAATACAAACACATCTCGGTTAATCAAATAACCATATTGTCTCTCTTTGTTTTCAGTGTTGGTAATTTCAGATTAGTTTGTATGTTTCAAAAATAAACACGATACTATTTTACCACACCAACTGTTCGAACTTACTTCCTCTAACTCATTATCATTGGGCGTTTCAACTCCATGAATCGGTAGGAATGGCCCATTACCATCGTCTACATTTTGACTCGTTGACTTTGAACTCGATGACAGTTTTGTTGTTAACAAACCACTAGAATCATTTAGTTGAGCGCTTTTACGAGATTCAGTTGACATACTTCCAGTTGATCCTAATCTTGTCTTTATAACTGATGAGGAAAGGGAAGAAGGAGTATCCGGTGTCCTTGTATTGGTTACATTAACATTTGGATCACAAGTTCCTGAAGACTGTCTTTTACTTGTAGTGTTTGTATCTTGTCCACTGGTTGAATTGTGCGACTGACCACTACTACGTCGTCTTTCCAGCATAGAATCAATCTCTTCATTAGTTTCAACGTCTTTTTCAGTTTCTGCTTTTTTTCAATAAACCCATCCGATATAGAAGAAAAGATTGATTAGATTTGGATTAATAAACATCTAAAATCATCAAGAGGTAATAGTGATTTAGATTTTTATTTAAGTGTTTATGTACACCGATAAGCTAATCATTAGGAGTACATACAGCATATAAGCTTTGAAAGATAGATTTTTCAAAGTAGTGTAAGGGAGTAGTAGAAATTTATCAAATGTGCGCTTTAGTAAAATCAGTAAGACAAACCTTCATATGGACGAATATCTATTTACGTATTACGAGGTTTGATAGATGAAATAGTAATTTATAATTACAAATTTAAACACGTCCGCAGTGTACAATTTAAACTTACACTAGACAGACATTCAGTGTTTAAGGTTAAGTCTTATCTCACAGGTGTTGTGTACTTATGTTAAAACTACAAGATCCCATTAAAGTAAGAAGAAATGAATTACACTTACCGAAGGGAAAAAATGTATTAGCTTAGCTTATCTGTAAATTACTTGTGTCTACACAGTTTAGGAAAATGCAATTAAACACATCCATATTAATTAGAAAAAATCTGTGAATAAATCCATGTTAAAATAGTAATTCCTCCACTGTATGGGTGCGCTGAAGTAAATAATATGCATATTATGTTCGATTTCAAACTACTATAAATAAACGTGAAGTACTAATCAGATATTACTTAGAGTTTCTGGTAAGTAATATAGTAGAAGTATTAGTGTAAGTAAAATAACCAATATGATCTATTTTGAGCCAAGATAAACTGTGTGACACAGAGTTACCGTCCTTTCGAGAAAATTTGATAAAGCACAGAAATTAAAAGTTGTAGAATGCAAGGAATGCACTTGATTTAATGAGTTCAAATCTTCCATATATACACTAATTTTATAAATGTATTTTTAACATGAATAAAACCATTTATTTCAATAAAGTTTCAACAGAGTCGACGACCTCTAACCACCACCTTGCATCTCAACATACTGCACGAAATGTTGAGTTACTGAGACTAGTGATCAAACTGCAAGTTGATGGATAGAATCCTACCAACACTAAGAAGAAATTGACATACATGAGATTGATCACTAGTAAGTGATCGGACAGTCGTGAGTACCTTTTCATAAATGAACATATACGAATATAATATTGTAGACGAAAAAGGCTGAAAACTTTGGACTAGACAATTCAGATTTAGCGTAATGCATAAATTATATAAACGGCGGTCATGGGTTTGATTCCCTGGCACTGTAATAAGTGCGTGCTATCGAAAAGTCTGAAACAATATTAAAACACTAGTTTCTGGCTTTCATATGATTTCCAGTCGATGCCGATTCCCAGCAATTCCTGAAGATGAATATTTTACTAAGGTTGATAAACTTAAAAAAATTAATGATGAAATTGAATTTATTAGAGTAATTGGATATTTTTATCCACATAAATCAAAATCAGAGGTTTGAAAGTCTTCTTTCTGTGATTTCCGCTGGTGCATATGTTGATTATCTCAGGGTCAAAGGGCGTATTATAAACTTTGTCCTCCGTAAAAGTTAATTTAGACTAATAGAAATAATTTAAGATAATTGTATTCCAGGCAGTTACCCGCTGAAGATAGTGGAAGCTGGTCGCAAAATATTTTGTAATATTTAGAGTTAGACATTAACACTGTTGGGTACCGACTCAGTGGTCTAGATGTTAAACAATCCAGGGTTTGAGTCTCTGTTGCGGGATCGTGGATTCTCATGGCTGAATTGTTATATACTAAAACGAAGAGGCGGTCCAGTGCTTCTATGTTTTCGGTGGTGATCTAACATTGATCAGTTCATGATTTCAATTAAAACTCAACGATTTCCTCAATCGTATCATATGGTCACTAGTGACTAGCTTCGTGAGGTAATTTTCTAAGTTCTAGTGAGTAGCCGTGATCACACACCAACATTCTTAGTGAAAGGCATGTTAAGTGAGTAGTAATTATCGAGGGTTTTCATATTTATCCAGCTTTAATTTTTTATATAGATTAGTAGTAACTAATGAAGCACAATAATGTGAATTTATTGTGTTTTACTGGACTTTGTCGGTTACTTATAATACTGGATGAAAAATTTACAAAGTGTGTCTACTGAAGTGAAAGATAACATAATATTGCATAATCAAACTTAGTGACCGTAGTAAATGACAAGTGTTAAGCATGAGCTTTTGCCGCAAACAAATATATATATATATATATATATATATATATATAAATATATATATATATATATATATATATATATATATATATATATATATATATATATAAACATCTACATATTTATATGTAAATCGTGTTGTAGATACTTTACAAAAGAAACATAACGTATGAAATAGTCACTGGTAGAAAAATTTGAAACGTTAATAATGTCGGTTTCATAATTTCAATAAAAAACGATACATTTTGTTAATTTTATGTAGATGTAAGCCACTTGTAGGAATATAGACATTCTAACTCACGTCTAGCATTTAGCAATATCAGAATATTCTTGATACTTATATTTCTTTGAAGATTTAAAACTCCCATATATTTTCAAATTACTTATGGATAATTATATAAGTACAGTTATCTACTAACTTCTTTGTTTTGCCAGCCACAGATTTGTAAGACCGTTGGTATTGTTTGAGTTGCTGATATTTTTTAACTAATATTGGTCTTATAGGGATTTCGGATTTATGTAAGCTACCCAAAACACATAAACCCGACATCCCTATAAGACCAATATTATCAATGGCCAAATCACCCTTCCATAAACTTGCCCGTTGGTTGACTAGATGTTTGGAACCAATCCGCAAGAAACTAGCAGCCTACAGTTTGAAAGACAGCTTTGAATTTGTACAAAAACTTGATAACCTTAATGTCTCTGACAAATTCATGGTTTCATTTGATATCTCTTCGCTTTTCACAAATATCCCCTTGGAAGAAACGGCAGAGATCATATGTGAATATCCAGAACTCCTGCCTTTACCACCCCAGGAATTTAAACAGCTCCTGTTTTTGTGTACAAAAAACATACAATTTAAATTTAACAATGTTCTGTACCGACAGATTGGTGGAATAGCAATGGGCAGCCCTCTAGGCCCAATTCTTGCCGAAATATTTATGGGACATCTGGAACAAAAGAAACTGAAGCACGCAATCGACAGTATCACACTCTACTGCAGATATATGGATGACACGTTCCTTGTCTGCAAAAATCACCAACACTCCATATATCTACTTAGTCTGTTCAGTAAAGTACACAAAGATATAGAATTTACCATGGAACATGAAGTTGATGATAAATTCCATTTCCTAGATATTGGAATAAGGCGAACATCAGATGGCACACTACAAAGACATATTCACCGCAAAAATACTTGGAGCGGAGTTTATCTCAATTTTAACAGCTTCTGTCCAATGAGTTATAAAAAGGGTATTGTGCGAAACCTTTTTGACCGCGCACGCAAAATCTGCCCAAAAGAATGCCTTGAAGAAGAAATTACTACAATCACCAAATGCCTACGTGGAAATGCATATCCGGAGAAATTCATCCACAAATATGCTGATACAAACCCTCCGATTAAGCGTGATACAGTTGAAAAGAAAACCTGCTTACTATCCTTGCGCTTCAAAGGAGATGAAGTCGCCGGAATTATCAATCACAGAATTAATTCCGCTTTAAAAGTGACCTACCAAGGCAGCCAAACTGACTACGTTATGGAAAACAAACTGCTCACTGAAACAAACGAAGATCGACAAGTCCTCTCCCCTCAGTTACTCCAACTGCATTTACCAATTCACATGTACGTGCCGTAGCACATACATTGGAAGAACTGAGAGAAGAGTATAGATTCGCATTTCTGAGCATATTTCGAAGAACTTGACGCTGCGAGGGACTAAAGCTTTTAACAGTGCAATAGCTTGGCATCTACTTGACACCGGGCATACCGTCGATATTATGCGCGCGTTTAAAATTATCTATAGACAAAGAACTACTACCACTCTCCGCTTTGTTGAAGCTATTGCAATTAAGAAACTGAAACCTGACTTATGCATCCAAAAAGAGACTTTAATAAACTTATCACTACCCTGGTAATCTTTTTGCTTCTGTTTTGTGTTTTGGTTATTTTATTCATTTACTTATTCTAAGATATTTCATACTCCCCCCCTATTACCTAATTCTTAAAATAAATTTTATTCACACATTTCCACCACCTGATCCTATCAAATTATCTTAACTTTCCAAATCCTATTTAATTATTATTACGTAATCTACCTTATCATTATTTAATTCCATTAATCTCTATTTGAAGTTTGTGCTGATGATGTCGTTCAGAAGAACGATGAAAGCTCCACGACCAAACCATCCAGCTCAGAGAACAAAACTCCACCATTAATTTCTACAATTATCACACAATTTATGAACTTCACTAAATTATTACACCACCCAATCTAGATTAACCCCCTCTTTTGACCTCTAACCTGTTTCTAGCATATATATATATATATATATATATATATATATATATATATATATATATATATATATATAGTTATTATTGTGATCCAGTTATTTACACTCATTTATGTCAATTGTTTCACACTATCTCCATGTAATTTTGGTTTGTAAGCAGCTGACGAGAAACCTCGAAATAATATGAATTCATACTATTCTGCATCAATGTTTGTTCTTGCTCTATTTAAACTATAATCATTTTTGGACAACTACATTATTGAGAGATTTATTCAAATATCACTTCAAAATCAACATAAAATTCATTAGTGCTGTCCAAAATATCACTACTTAAAAAAATACAATTAAAATGAACAACTGCTCGAATAGTTTATAAACAGTCGTTAATGGTTATTAATAATAAGTCGCTTACCTAAAAATGTTTCACAAATATAGGCAGATATTTGATGTCTAGACTTATCAGCTTCACCAAAACTATTCAACTCTTTGTTGAGTAAACGTTTAAACTTTGCAAAAAAGCAAACAAATGAAAAAAAAATAGAACTGTAAGTTTAAAATTATTAGGTAAAAATGAAAGTTAGAGACATTTATTGATTATAGTCATTGTGAGTTATATATTTCGACAAGCGACATTCGTTTTTTTGTTGTTGTTCGTCTAAAATGTTTTCTGTGCTGTTCGTAAATTTACATAACGACCCATTAACTGACTTTAAACACTTACTTGAATACTTACGCCCGTTACCCCTCGTGGAGGAGTGTGTGACACTCACTAACACTCCCCATTCAATTCTGTCCTGGGCAGTCATTTCCAGCCGCTATTCATCGTTTACCTATCTACTTTCAAAACCCGATGCAGTGTGTTCTTTGGCCTTCCTCTTTTTCGTTTTCTTTCAGGATTCCAAGTTAACACTTGCTTCATGATGCAGTTTGATGATTTCCTAAATATATGTCCTATTGACTTCCAACGTCTTTTCCTGACTTCCTCCTCAGCTAGAACCTGGTTTGTTTCCTCTCATAGTAGTAGGATGTTACTGATTGTGTTCGACCAATGGACATTCAGTATCTTATGTAAACAGCTGTTTATAAATATTTGTACTTTTTGATGATGGTTGCAGTAGTTCCTCAAGTTTTATCTCCGTACAGTTGAACTGTTTTGACGTTCTTATTAAATACTCTGACTTCAATTACTGTAATAGCAACTATAAAATTACTAATAATAATAAAAAAATATTGTTATGCGTCCTTAAATAGAGTGGTGCATAATGCTGTTATGTTCTTCAAAGTGAACGTATTAATTGAATAACAATTTTATTGTGATATTCGATTAAATTAGCCTAATTTAAATAGTAATAATGAAGTTTGTTCTTTATCCTATGATTATTAAATAATTTGTCACTGACAAACTCACTTTTGAAAAAGCCATATCAGAGACAGGCCTCTTTGTCTGAATATTTTCCAATTGTTTGAGACACCATTCCAATTCTTCAAGTGTTTCATTTGCAATTATTTTATAATCACTACCTTCAAAAGGATTTAAAAACAAAATATACATTCAGCCACAAACTATATGTGTAGAAAAATTGAAAACTTATTGAGTAAATCCAAAACAAATTTTGTTGACATGATTTAATAAATTTTAGAATGTAGTTAAGTATTAGGCAGTTAGTTATAATCATTACAAAACTTCTGAACAAATGCCACTTTCTATATAGAATTTGATTTATCAAAATTTAATAAACCTTTTCTTCATTAACAATATAAATATGACACAATAGAATCAAGTCATATTAGGTAAACAATGAATTGTTTATTGTGATTTCTTAATAGATCTAAATTCTTTGATTCATCCTTTAATGTTAGCTGTGTAATATCACTTATACCTAATGAGGGTTTGAAAAATCGATGTTTTCTGATTGAAATCCTTTTGGTTAGTAAAGAATTTTGAAATCTGTTTAGTGTATTATGGTTTTCAATACTTATATTACCAACATTTGTTTGTAATACTTTAAATTTTGAAAAACTATGTATTTGTTAATAAATATTAGGTAGTATACCACTTGGTATCAAAAATATCTATGTAAGTCAATGATGATGCCTGAAGCTATCAAATCATAAAAGCGGTATAATTGCATGTTTTGTCAGCTACGATTTCATTCATAAAATGAAAAAAAATGTTTCAACGAAATATTCATCGTACGTTAATGTTGCGTGAAAAAAAAATTATTGAAGCTTAGATTGTGACGTTTAGCTGTTACTCAGTCAGTCAATGAATCATAGGCACATAAGACCCGGAATAAATAAGCGTTATCTCAATTTATTATACCAAATTAACATGACTAGATCTATCTAATAATATGAATAGTATAAGCATTCAACATTAAATAGAAGCAGTGATAATGAAAAAGGCTTAATAATGTGAATAGGGTTTGAATAGGTAAAATGGAAAGGTATGTATGACGAAATACTGAAACTCAAGATAAATTTGAATGCAGATGCACTATTACCGTTTTTGAGCCAAATAAATCAACATCTCTAAACTCTAATAGCAGTAACGGCTTAGTCTACAACCAGGAAGTCTACATTTACATTTTCTAAACAGCTTTAAAGTAATAGAATTTATGGACGTCATAATTATTAGGATGATGATTTGTGGAGATCATAGTTTTAATAGTTTAATCAATGAGTTGATCTAAGCTAGACCACCTGTGAAGAGTCTCATTCTGGGACTAAACAGCCATCTGATGCTTTCAGGTTTTAAATGGTGGCCTAGCAAAAGTCGACTCATGAATTCAATTATTAAAATTTCATAATGATCAATTTTTTAAATGATAAAATTAAGTTTTTTATGTTTTCAATGTACAATATTACTCTGTTAGATTAACTGAATTAATTAACTCTTATAATAATTACATGGAATAACAACCGGCAAATTATTTTTACTAACTTGAATTTATGGAATTTTATGAATAATAATAAGATTTAATGAATATTAAATTTTGGTTCGGATGAAAGCATTGTAAATTCTAAAAAACAAACTAACGAATGCCTAAGATGTTAGTACGATATTTCATAAGGCTATCAGCTTTAATACTTAAAACTGGACGAAAACTATTCGAGAGTAGTGTTTTTTATGTACTGTTATTTTGTAAATTGACACTCATTCATTAATATTGAATGAAGTTGTACAATTTGTGCTATCCTAACAAATATTAAATTTGGCCATTGAGTGAAAATAACCATGGAATCAAGAAATCTTGTATGTTTGCATCATTTGTTTACTATTCTGAATTATTAATCAGAATTCTTTCTATGTCAATTCAGATCTCGCATACTAAGAAATCTATAGTTATATCATACCTTAAAAACCAACTCTGATTGTGTAATCTCATAGTTCACCCCACATCTTTGCATCAAACAATCATTAAAATTATAGTAATTTATGGTTACTCTGTTACTCTTAAAATCATAGTGATAACGTTGCTGATTCATTCATCTCTATTTGTGTTTAATTAGATTTTAAACTAAACAAACATTCCAGTCGTATTAGTCATTTTTAATTGTTTACAGATTCAATAATTAACACTTATACGTGTACAACTTTTTTAAGTATAGGCGAATATGCACATTTGTTTCGTTATTAATTTATTGTACTAAATGTATATGCATATAAACTGAGTTAACGATTTATACATTGATTTGACTGTCCGGTCAATCCAAATACCGCACATCCAATTGTCTAATCAATCTACATAACATACGTGATACACAACTGATCCTCAATTTAGTCCATTCGTCACACAGCATAAAATGCACATAGTCCTCAATTCCACAAATACTACACATTATACATGTAGTTTGACAAATTAGTAGGTATAACATAAACTGTTCGCTACAATTTTCCTATCACATAGAAGGCACAGATATATGAGCAAAGAATATTCTATCAATCAGTTCTCTTTGAGTTTTACAATTATATATCAAAATAATTTATTTGAAAAGTGGCCAATTATAAGAGCTTGAGCTGTGAAGATACAAAGAGGAATGTTGGATGTACACTAATCAAATTATGATTGTTAAATAATTACTTATTAACGCAAACCTCCAACTTTTTTATCCGAACAGCTGTGTCTTCAGCCGTGTACGTATTCTTACTCTGACAGATTTAGTAGGACAAGTATTACCATAATTTGTAATTACATCATTATGTCTCTCATCACATATTACCCATATTCACTTTGATCATTAAATTTAAGATTCCAATATAACCTATAAAATTTTTAAAATCACTGGTTCATATTATTTATCTCGATAGTAATCGAAACGTTGAGCGTTTGCGCGCAAGATAGAAGTTTAGTGGTTCGATCCACACTCTCAGGAACATAGACGTGCACTGCTAAAGAATTCTATACTAAGATGGATTGTCGGTCCAGGACATTCAGCTGAACACTGGTTGTCTAACACTGATTGGTTCACGATTTCAGTGAGATTAAACAATCTACACAATCCAATAATGAAAATTTTATTTTATCTTACAAATAATCTGGAATACATTGGCTGTGATTTTAAACTGTTTTAACCGTACAATTGGCCACTTTTTAGATAAATAACTTCGATATATAATTGCAAAACCTGAAGAGAAGTGACCAAATAAATATTTTTCACTCATTTATCTGTATTTTATATATACTATTCCTAATACTTTACATATCGAATGATCTTTTGAATCTGTTACACTACGGAACACATCAAGAAAATGTATGAAACTCAACGAGAATTCACAAACTAACTAAACTTACAAAGTGATCCAGTATCAGTCCATAATTCTATAGAAACTCAGTGAAACTACTTTACATTCTGAATATCGTAAGGTAAGAAATTTCAAATCATAATACAAAACAGAAATTCTACAATAGATAAACAGTTTACGTCTTCAATAATAACTAAGGTGACCAAACAAACAATCAGTAATTAAGTTTTTGATCGAAAAATATCTCCAAATAACTATTTACATAAATTGTCATAAAACAAGGTTAAATCAATAAGTCCTAACATGCTATTTTGGTCCTTATTACTCTTAAATGTTTAGTTTATTCCATGTTCATTCTTTTAAAACAAATAAATAATACTAATATGTGTATTTACGCGTTCATTACATGCAAACAAGTTAAATTTTAACATTTAAAACACTTTTCAAAGACAATTTTTACAGAAAATGATAAAGAAAAGTAAAACAAAGAAGGACATTTCAACAATTGATTTGAAAGAGAAAAAAATGATTAACATGTAAATTTCTTGTTTGAAACGAATTATGTCATAATCAAAGGTTTCGCCTTTTTTTTGTAAAAGAATTTGTTAACTAAACTACTGAAGAAAAGAGAGGCTGTCAATAGAACATTAAAATCATTATTTTCATGTGAAAAATAGTTTAATAAGTTGTTAAGAAAAATAATGTAGTTACTAAAACTTTTGTAAACGTTTTACTAAAGCACATGGTAACATTTTTAACTAATCTACTTTTATTCATAAACCATGAAATACTTGAGTATAATAATAATCTAAAAGTGTTACTATATAGATTATTTATATTGGCCGAGGTTTAAAAATAATCTAAAATGATATTTCTGAAGATTAATTTGGATTTTTTGATAGTTCAATGGATTTATATAAACTGAACAATTAAGAAATGGAAAAGGTACTCATATTCTCTTTCATACTAGTTTAGAGATTTCTCTACAATGAACACACACCAGTGATTGAAATGATACATCAAAGAAATAAAAATACAGAAAGAATCATCATATTTACTTTGTTACATTGTCAGATAGAAACAGAAGATTGATTGCATTTTTTTATAGTTTTTAAAGTGGAAACGACCTAATCTAGTAAACGCATTGTAAGCAAGACTACACTGAAGTGAATAAATGCAATAATTTGTGCCTACCGAAAGATACGTAATTACAGTTTTACATAATACCGAAATGGCCACCACCATAAATGGTGAACGGTAGTGCTAGCCAATACAGACAACAATTCATTTTCTTAATAAAAACGATGTAATGGTTTTAATCCAAATAGGGGTTTGTGGAGATTGGAGTATGTTTAAAGTTATATACATAAGTCGGTCTAAGATCGAACATCATTTAAAACTTGGAAGCGGCCGTTTTCGCTCTAGTACGAAACTCCTCGGCATTACACATCCACCATCCCTCACACGGGACATGAACCCAGGACCTTCGATTTTGCTCACAAACGCTTACCTGATAGACCACTGAGACGGCATCCAGGGTTTATAGTTTCCGACTATTTTTATTAAGGTTTGTAAATGGTCAGTAGGTAACATGGACATTTAAGCTGAAACTAGTCAAATCTGGTCTTAGTGAGTATATTAACATTAAGGCATATCATCTAAGAAATTCAAGATAAAATTAAACACCCTCCTACTGCTACCCAGTATAGGTGGTATACTTACTTATTTCAACACACACATATTTTTGATTGAGATCATGAACCGATTGATGTTAGACCACCGTTAGAAACCTGCAAGCACTGGATGGCCGTTTAGTCCTATTGTGGGACTCCTCGGCAGTGCGCATCCACGATCCTGCTTGCGGGATTCGAACCCAGGGCCTTCGGTCTCGCGCGCGAACGCTTAACCTACTGGACCACTGAACCGACATCAAACGGTGTCAGTGTCTTATGTCAACTCACATATTTGTACAAGAAGGCATCAAATATATATGCGTCACATGAATCACTCAATATATGTGAGGGCTGGAATACTGCCCGGGAGTCCAAACCGAAGGAGGTATATATATATTGCGAATATATTTCTACCGTTTATTATCAGTGTATAGTATAGAAGCAGTTTACCATTGTCGGGAATTTTATTTGAATTAAGTAACATTTTAATAGCGTATAAAGGAACGACAAATGTCATGGATTCACTGAATTTGTAAAACATCAAACTATGGAAGCCAGTTTAGAATAATATAACTTCCTTTATGCAAAGCAAGAACAACAAACAAACACAATTTAGGTAAATTTATCTTTTTATTTCGTCTGCCTTAAATCTTCTACATACAAACTGATCTAAATAAACAAATGATACATTTTGTAAATTTAATTCCTTGTGTATTTAGTACAAAGTCGTTTGATTTATTAATGAATCATAAATTTAGTTACTTTTCACATGCATAAAACTTTAATTTATAGATCAAAGAAATAAGTGAGGAAGATAAAGACTATAATGTACAAGAAGCATATGTTAACTGTTATAAATAGGATTGAAGAAGCCATAAAATTAATGGTAGTTATTAAAAAGATGCTCTTTTCCACCAAACAGATTAATGATGATAATAATGATAATAACAGTCTGTATGAGTAGTGGATATTGTTAAATTTTGTTGAAATGCCGAACCAAAGTAAAACAACCATTAAAAACATAGAAGCATCGGATTGCCTCTTCGTCTTAGTATTAAGCTCTCCAGCGGCGCGCACCCACGATCCCGCACTCGAGGCCAGGAACTTCGGTTTCGCGGAAGCGCTTAAACTCTAGACCACTGGGCTGCTATCTAATGGTTTAATGACTAACTTCAACCAACGTATCGCCATCCTGTTGTATCCGAATGAAGGGCAAATGAATGGTGACTATTATTACATATATTCTTATTGGATAATAATTAAGTAAATAGATTACATATATCTTCATATTCTTATTGTCATGAGCTATCACTTGACCTATTATCTACTATTATATGATTCACTATTCTCAATGTATTTTCAATTTGTTAATTACAGTCTCTTGTACTCACAGCCACTTTTGGCTCGATCATGTATAATTAATATTTTTAATTTTGTTGTGTGATGCGGTCTGGTCTACTTGTATATGAACCACCTATGTCTGAAATGTATGATTTACACAAAGGAGGCTGATATTTATTTTCTGGACTGGACAAGTTGAGTTGGGCGAGAGGTTACTACTTTCAGGACCACTCAGGACTCAGAACTGAGTCAGGGCTGCTGGTGCTAGTTGATGTGTAATTGGTGAAGCACGAAGACAGGGTTATAGAAAGTGATATTCTTATTGACGATTTTATCACATGATATTCAATGGACCATAAGACATAACACGTAAAGTGTTTTTAGATTTTCAACGTTTGTCTGAGTTAGATCAGTTGGCTTCAATAACACTAAATAATAGCCTGAAAATGTATTTAAAACTTCCTTTATAGCAGCGTGGAGTAAATGGACACAAAACAATGTATATCATTAATTCTAATTAATTCTGTTCTAACTGAGTGATTCCTTTTCCCTTTACCTCATCATTCATTGTCAATATAAATTAGAAACGACATGTTATGAAGAGAATCACATAAAAGTTAAGAAATAAAATTTTGATGAATTTTTAATGAGATCTCATGTCTAGGGAAGTTTAGTCATACCGTGTTTAAGAGTTGCACCGTTGATATTAATAAACGATAATCACATAATGCCTCAAATCGTTTCAGGTTCATAATATGAACCAGAATGTAGAGATTTTTTAAATCCGATATATTAGATACACTTGAGAGTACTCACTATTGATTCCTTCATATTTAACCATAGAAACTACTTTTTTCTTAGTTTTGCAAAAAAAACATTTCGGTTATTTTTAGCAAAATCACTTTACAGATAGATCATTAAGGCGAACACAAATTTATGCAATTTAAATAATACGCTTTTATTCATTCAATTTTAATTTATCCGATTTTAATTTTTAAAAATAAACATGTTTGTGAATTAATGAATGAAATAATTTTAAACAATTTTATTCTACTCTTTGTTTTTGTATTAAAAGTCACAGAAATAACTCAATGTGTTTGCGTGACTTGATTTGATTACTAACATTCTTAATTTTATTTTTTTAATTAAAAAAAAAAAACTCAAAAATTCATTTTTTTTTCGTGCTTTCGATATTGTTTTTATTTATTCAGCAAACAGTTTCCTAGTTTAAAATCAATGTGAAATACAAATAAATGAACTTGAATCTGTCCGCTCATATACATATATATATATATATATATATATATATATATATATATATATAGTGAACATGTTATAGGTGGCTAGGGAGCAAGATTAACGTTTTCCCTTTCCTTTTTGTTATTTTTTTCTCTAGTCATATAATTAAATAGTTCATTTTATTTCGCCTGATTTTTTTGTAAAAAAGAAAGGAATCCGTATTAATACATTTAATCGCCTAATCAGTTATGCAAATAACTAACATTTATTTTAATCAAATAATAAATAATAATCCTTTTTATGATAAGCTTTAGTTGTTTACGTATATATATATCCTTGAATGACTTATGAATTCATGTAAATACTAATAATAATAATAATAATAATAATAATGATATTTATATTGAAAGTTTCAAATGGATATTTAGTAGATATAAATCATAATAAAATAATGTTTTCCTTTTTCTTTTTCTTTTTCTGAAACAGAATATCATTGATTCTTTTTTTTATGAACTTTGTAGTTTTTTTACTTTTTTATTTTTTTAATAGAAAATATATTCACCCTAATCATATTGTTTTACTGTTTTAAAATTGTACTTTTAAAGAAATAATAGTAACTACGATTATATTATGTTCATATTATAATATTCAATAAAAAAAATCAACCAATCAAATTCAAGTAATTGATTAAAAATGCCTAGGAATAAATCGATATTTTAAATGATTTAAGAATATACACTGATATACATTGATTTATTATTCACTATATATGAAGTAATATTTCTTATGATTATTATTTTTTTGTTTTGTTTTTCAATACTACTTAAATCTAAATAACACATCTTAATTAAATCATTTTAATTATACTTTTCTTTCCTTTTTTCTTTAATAGAATTATAGTATAAGGATGAACCAGTCAAAATCAAGATGATTTGCGCGTTTTCTCAATAAAGTCTGAAATATATGACTTTTATCTAATATTACATCAAACAACTAGTAGAAATACTTTTGTCTGCTTGTCAGAATTTGTAAAATGACGATACAAAATTATAATTTGCTATCATAGAATACAATCGATAACATTATATGCATCATATGGTCAATTCATCCTGAACAAATTGTATAAAACATGAAAACTAACCCTTTTATTAAATAATAGCCCTATATATTTAATCCTTAACACATCATCTTAAATCTGTAGTCATAACAATGTGTGAACTCGTAGAAATCCATCTGCATCGTTTTAAATGTTTCAGAATGCAGATAATCTATATTTGTATAAATCAACTTATATATCTACGTTTTTCTTAATTAAAAATAAAACAACCTGTTAGAAGTTCTAGTGAATTGATTAATTATGTTAAATCTGTCTATCTTTTATAGTGTTACTGTCCATTTTATGAAAAAAAAAACAGCTGATTTACTAAAGCTGTTTCTTCACTGACTAGCAATTTGTTAAAATACGTAACAGTTGTTTTTTTTGTAGTTCATTCTTATACTATAATCCTTTTTTAATATATTTTAACACTGGATAAGTCATTTTTGCCGCTCTGTTTGCTATGAAGTTAAAAATAATACAGAAAACAACCTTTACTTACTATCTGGTGTTAGATTGCCAGTTGGAACAGAATCAAATACAGTTGTGATGTTATATCTGTAAGATAAACAAATAAACGATTGAAATCAATTATAGTTAGGGATTTCAAATAGACACAAACTGATAAAATTTGTTAATACTTAAGATTTTTTACAGGGCAAATTAAAATCTTAATAAAATACGAAAAAAACTTTGACTGAAAAGTAATGTGTCTGCCTGAGCTGAAGTTAAATTTAAACAACAATTTTCTGCAAACTGTTGATTAGATCAGACTTTAAAAACCTTTATGGTAATAGATTACAGAGAGAGTAAGTGACTAGTTATTAAATTGAAACTAAAGTACTTTCGTGAATGAATTGCAAACAAAAACTCCCTTTTGAAAATCTTGAATTTCTGTGAAGCGTGTTAATCATTTTCAAAAAATATTTCACTGATATCTTCACGTGAAAACTTTCTATTAATTTTCGAAGCTGAAAACGTTGAACGCGCTCAAAGACATTTATGTGTATAACTCCACACGAAGACTCTCATTAAGCAATATCCAACCTTGCTTCATTGAAAGGTTAAAGTTACGATCATTTTTCCTTCAGTATTTATTTAAGTCGTTTGGTCGAGATATGAAAAGCACCGAGGACCATTAGTTGAAAAAATACATCACTGCCACATTTTTGCAGCATACTAAATTGGATTCCATGTAGTTATTGTGGCACAACTCAAATTTGTCCAGATACTAACCTTCAAATGTATTTAATCCGCAACGCATATCGTCAGCTTGCTAACATCTCTTTGGAAAACAACTACTCTTTAACAAATACCGTTACACTAAGAAGTTATATGTTTAGCAGGTCTATACTGAATAAAAAACATCGTTATTATTATTATGAAATGGTCAACTGACATTTTGTATGAATATAATGTAAAGTTTACGATTGATAGAAAAACAAAACTAGAGCATCATTCCATCGACTTAACAGATTTTGGAACTGGTTGCTAGTCATTATTTCAGTATTATTTATTTTGAAATTTCAAAAATTGTGAATAAATAGGCTGCATGCAATCAAAAATAGAGATTTTCAGAACCAAGGAATGCTTCAATGTACAGCTGTTTTCAGTAACTTCATTATTAATCAGTTTCAGTATGTACTTTATAACATAATGCTTAATTCAACCAAACTAGAACGAAACATAGTGTTAATTCCTAGCTGATTTTATCCATTCTATAAGATGCTTATAGTTATTAATGCTAGGTTGTCTCAAATTATTCCAAATAGTTCAACTAACCCAACATAGTAATCATTATATAACATTAAATGTTAAGCATTGTATGTTCAAATCAGCTGTAAGTAAACGTCTAACAAAAAGTAAACGGTTTTGATTTTTTATAAATATCTAAATCAGACTTTAATTACGAATAAGACAAGATAATAATTCAAATAATATCAATCATATAAGCTTAGAAAATGATTACCGAACACCTGTGGTGATGTAATTAAAGATAATAGTTTTAGTGGAAACTATTGTTAGAACACCAAATAGATAAATATTCATTATTTTCGACCAAAACGGAATGATTATAAAATTTTCATAAGACAGATTTTTTTCTCATGGTTACAAACAATGGTTAACAGTATCTCGGCAACAAATTTGAATTTACTACGAGACACTGATTTAAAATGGAATTTGATTCATATAAGTGTAAGAAGTTTGTTCAAGACACTGTTGCTGATATTCAGGACTAAAACCGAATCAGTCTACTCAGATATTCGAGATATTTGAGTAGTGTTCAAAACGATCTAGACTTGACAGATGATCTGGCCCTCCTATCGCAAACGCAACAACAAATGCAGGAGAAGATGACCAGTGTAGCGGCAGCCTCAGCAGCGGTAGGTTTCAACATACACAAGGGAGAAGCAAAATTCTCCGATACAACACAGCATGCACCAATCGAATCACACTTGACGGAGAAGATTTGGAAGATGTAAAAACTAGAAAAGAAGGCACAGGATAGAGTGGGTTGGAGAATGATAGTCGGCGGCCTATGCTCCATTCGGAGTAACAGGCGTAAGTAATTAAGTAATTAAGAATTTGGTCATTGGCTATCAATCATATCCAAGACTTAGATATCATTTTATTCAGAATGAAGGTAGACAAACAACTGATTAACTTTCAAAATAAAAACACGAGAAATCGACTGAATTTGTGACGAAAATCAATATATAACGAGATGCTAACACAAGGAGCTCATAGTCTATGAAAGATGTTAGCAATATAACGAAACGACTAGTCAACTTCATATAACGTTTTTATTATAAATTCTTGTAACCGTAATTAGTGCACAATACTAGTATTTTAAAAAATATGTGTTATCTTAAGATAACACAAATCAAAATCAAAGAATTTAATGTTAACAATCTGTCGTTTGATCATAAATTTTACTCCCAAGATAGAAGTTCAATGAGTAATCAGAAAATATGGCATACATCGATTATGTAACAAAATGTTGATATGAGTAGGATATTTCAAATAAGTGATCATCATACAATTAAACATTTTTAATCTTAAATTTGTATATAAAGTCATATCATTTTGTTCGTTACCACATCCTCCAAGTTTATAGTTTTACATTCATTCAATATTTTGCATTTCTTACACTTATTTCCACTTGTTAAGCTATCAGTATATTTGAATTTTAGACGAATGAATTTCAACCAACTTCATTCTCATATGATTGAAAAATATCACGTAGTTATGTGTTCATTAGTTAAAACAAAACACAGCTGTCCACAGCTGAAACCCTATTTTTTTTTTTTTAATGTATCGCACACATATGTGAGCAATTAAGAAAACTTTCGATTTAAGTAACAAGAAAGTTTTCACTAGTCAGCTATTAGTATTGCCAAATCTTCGAGGAAATCGATGTTTGTAGCAGGAATTCATCCAAGTTTCATAGTGAACAATATTATCATTACTACTTTATACACAATCTAATATTACATATTATGTTTTTTTTAGAAAGGGCTGTTGATTTGATAATAAATGTGCCTACTTATTTTTTTTTTTTTAAAATGAAACTTTTTAAAGCATTTAAAAATATTAAAAAAACTCAGCTAATTGTTTCCTTTAAAGAAAATAAAACATCATCCATTATACATTGATTTATTTAATTTACAGTAAAATGGAAAACAAACAAACAAGGAACTAATTTTCTTTCTATTAATCAGATACTGTATTCATTATGAAAATCATTTTAATCTGATCAATTTTCAATGTCAATGTTACTGTGAAATTGCATATGATTAATGTTATTACTTGTTTGTTTGTTTGTTTGTTTGTTATATTTAAACGTTTGTCAAATTATTTTTATTTCCATCTAATAAATTAACTATCTTTTTTTGTTTGTTTAAATTTGAAATATGTTTTAATGATAAACGCATTAATGCACAATATAAACATAAATAATAAGTTAAACTCTTATTTTTTTAATTTTGTATAGCAATAAAATTTAGTTAGTTTTATTGTGTAATTTGATGTTTTCCGAAATTCAAATGAACAAACTGTATATACATCGCTTCCATTTCGAGTGTCCTTCAACCACAGAGTGTTTTTATTCATGATCTACTAATTTGTAAGCTCATGGTGTATACTTGTATTTACTTCAATGCTTACATGATACATATATATCTTTTCACATATGCCATGTTATACTGTCAGCCTGATGATTCAGTCGCTAATATGTAAACTTATTTTGTGTAAAATTTACCGAAATTAGAAGATTTTGATGACAGGAAAAAGTTATCGAGAGTCATATCAAACTTCACTTGACATGAAAATTTCAACTTTTATTTGAGTAAATTTGTTTTGTTAATGATAAGTAAAATGGGATAAAAATGCCCCTTATGTATTACCAAACGAAGGGTTATCCTGCTGTTTTTATACCCTTGATTTATTTCTACATTATTTTTGAAGCCTACTAGTATTTATGATGTAGTTTTGATATATTTTCCTATATCTATGTAGTGTTTCCCCAATTTCCATGACTTTTATTTTAGTATCTATTTCTAACGTGATAATAAATTAAAAGATATCAGATATCATTGGTAAACTGAGACAAACGTTTGAATATTCAAAAAGTGGGTGATATAAAAGTTTACGAAATAGAAAATTGACCGTTCACCGAGTAGTAAAAACTGTCATCTCTGTTATTTCCTCTAGTTCTAACATACTTCCAATGATTAAATTTCAGTTTGTCCATTAGTTGAAATCACTCAACGTCTCGTGAGTAATTTTGATATGTTACGTAGTTGAAGATAGTGAACAGGAAACATCGGAATTAAGTTTCGTGCTAGTTGACACTCTACAGCAAGGTATATCTGTAGTTGTTTAGTAAACTGTAGACATCTCAGTCCTGTGAAAGATCAGTTACTGCCTAAATAGATCGGCAGTAATATTTTATGCTATGAAAATGGTCGACTCGGTTTCGATTCAGCTAGAGAGCATCAATCCTCTTGACAATCCATGGACACCTAATAGGCTCGAATGTTCGAGGACACTTGTAAACTTCTTCTAACCGCCTGATATTTATACACCCTATCCAAAAAATAGGCTGCATATCTTTTAAAGTGAAAGAACTACAGATTTTCTCACATGAGTTCATACAGTTTTATTAACGATACATTAATCTGAAATGGTTTTTATATTTTATACTATAATACACTAAGAGATCTGCTGAAAATATATTTAAAGTTTAGTTGCTTATCATGTAGTGACCGGTTTTCATTATCCATAACTCAATAAAATTTAAACATAATGTATAATAATTTACAGCTGCGAAGCATAATTAATACACTTTAACTTTTTTCCTACTCTACTTCTTTAGAGAAATGAATTCAAAGGCATACCACACTTAAATTGAAAATAATCTGGAAGGTAATAATTAAAATCACTAAGCTATAATACATTTATTTCATGTGATTATTTTATGAATATATATTACTAGAATTATAGAGAAGATTTGAAGCTTAGGCAGATGGTTTTGCAGTTGTTGGGATCTTTTTGCT